CACACGCAAGTTCTGTATGTGTACGCTTGTGCGTGCGCGCGCGCGCGTGTGTGGGTGTGTATGTAATAGTAATAATAATAATAACAATAATAATGATAAATAGTATTTATGCTGCGCATTTCTATTTTTAAAAAAATTCTCAATGCGCATTACCTTTATAAAAATAACACATCTTAAAAATTAATGGACACGTATGTACGTAAAACATAGCAATATGCATAACAATTTATATGAGATAGTCACGCAGTGACCTTGGCAATGTGTTCACCAACAAAAAAAAAAAAAATGCAATAAAAACTCACGAACGATCACAATAAAACTGAAACTTGAATTGCAAGAAACATTCAATAAAAACATTCGTTCTCTATAAATAGAAAAACATTTCCGTTCTCTCTGTTTCTCTCTCCCCCCCCCCCCCCCCCCACCTCTCTCTCTCTTTTTTTCTCTCTCTCCCTCTCTCTATCTCCCCCCTCTCTGTCTCTCTCTCTCTGTGTCTCTTACACACACACAACACACAAACACACACACACGCACACACACACACACACACACACACACACACACACACACACACACATTTCTTCAGTCTCACGGTCGGGCATGCATGTTCATCGTTTTGACATGTATGCATTTGTGAATAAGAAATGCTTCAGTTGTTTTTTGGAAAACGTGAATAGTAGGGGCATTCTTAATTTTATATGAGAATCCGTTCCATACATGGGGACTAAAGAACAAAAAGGAACGCTCGTATGTTTTGTAATTTTTGTATTTATTTTATGTTTGTATTCAAAGAATTAGATTGTCAGCGGCAGACCCAAGGCCTCTGGGTGGATGATATAATTCCATGAATTGTTTTAGATAAATAGGTACAGTATCATTTATACACTTAAAAATTCCATGAATTGTTTTAGATAAATAGGTACAGTATCATTTATACACTTAAAACATAAAAAGGCAGTTCGATATCCTTCTCATAATCAGTTTTGCCACTTGATTTTAGAGTACTAGTGGTACATTATGTATTAAGATAAGATAAGATAAAATAAGATAAGATAAGAGTACTAGTAGTACATTATGTATTAAGATAAGATAAGATAAGATAAGATAAGATAAGATAAGATAAGATAAAATAAGATAAGATAAGATAAGATAAGATAATACTGTTTTGTCCCTGTGGGGAATTTTTAAAATATCATCTCTTATGTGTAATGTGTGTGAATGTGTAAGTGTGAGTGTGTGTAAGCGTGTGCATGAATGCATGTGTTTACGAGTGTTTATGTCTGTGTATGCTAAGTATGTACATGTACGTATGTGTTCGTGAGTGTTGTGTATATTACGTGGGAGTTCCTGTGTGTATAATTTGTGTGTGAGTGTGTATATGTTTTGCCATGTTTCTCCACCTATATAAAATGATGTCTACATACAGCCAGTTTGCTCTGACACAGTGTAGGTCAAAGAGAAAACATAAATTATAAATGGTAATGTTTTAAACCACAGTCGACACAATTAAGATTAGCCTATTTAGATGGCGGGCTGCTTCAACCCTGCCTGTCATGACCAGCCAGGACTGAGAGGGACACAACATCCCAACAGATAAATATGTGTGGTGGCCTGGGACAACCAGATGTATAGTCATTTTTTACAACATCTGAAGCAGATACTGACATTTAACGTGAAAACCCTTTCCTTCCCTCCAAGCTGCAATTTTAATCTTTAAAATAACTCGATATTTCACTGAGCCAAGCATATCATTTTAGGTTAGAATTAAGAACTGTGCGAAGCACAAAGCTGAGAGAAAGGGACATATGAATAAACATGTTTATTTTCCTGCTCATTTGGGGGAAATATTTCAAAACAAGTAACAGACACTTTTGAAGGGGACAATTCAGACAATGGGCTTTCAAATAATCAAAGTGTCTTTTATAGAGACGGAAAACAAGCAGAACTTGCAAATGTTTGGATGACTAGACATATTTCCAATGCTTTCACAAGTCATAAACACAGTTAGGCTACTGAAGCTACTTTTTCTTGCATTATTACCTTTTCTCAATTACTTTCTCCTTATTTTCTTTTCTTTGAACTTTCTGTTGTTTTACTTGTCTTGTGTTGCCCAAATTTTGCTACTACTCTTAAAGAATTGTAGAAGAAATGTTCTGGAGTTAACTTGTCACCAAAGTAAGTCCAAGAAGATCATGTGGGTGACACTGTAATGACTCAAAGAGAATATCTGTGCTTCTAAAAACTCAAGGTAGAAAAGTGCATCAGCCCAACAGGGAACCACCAGTCTATTGAAACATTTTGTTCATATTTGGGGACCAGACCAGATCATCAATGATTTATTTATAGAGGCACCAGCCATCCATGTCTAGGTGCTGTTTAAGCCTCTTTTTCCTGTATTCGGATTAATAATATCTTTTTGCCAATTTATTGCTTCCGCTTCTATGTACCCCATATCTATGGTTCTCAACCTGGAAATCGCCTATAATTCGCTGTAATTGCCTCCCCCCTCCCCCCACCCCCTCTCATCACCCGCCCCCCTTCATGGTGTCATCATTTATGTTACCGTCTATTTTTATCGATAACACGTTTATGGATTAAGGGCAGTATTAATGATAATTAAGAAAAAAAAACCCCCATCAATTAAATAATAAATAAATAAATAAATAAATAAATAAATAAATACATAAATAAATAAATAAATAAATAAATAAATAATGCTAATGATTATCATAATACAAATATTGATAATAAGAAGAAAAAGAAGAAGAAGAAGAAGAAGAAGAAGAAGAAGAAGAAGAAGAAGAAGAAGAAGAAGAAGAAGAAGAAGGAGAAGGAGAAGGAGAAGGAGAAGGAGAAGGAGAAGGAGAAGGAGAAGAAGAAGAAGAAGAAGAAGAAGAAGAAGAAGAAGAAGAAGAAGAAGAAGAAACACGGTCATAACATCAATGTAAAAAACAATAATAATAACAATAGAATTGATTTGAGTAAAATAATGAAATAATATTAAAATAATAAATGGAGCAATATTATTATAAATCAAAATTTCTAAAAGGACACTACTTGGAATCCGCCGATTGTATGGGATCAGATACCTTGTATGAATATGTTAAATTAGGTAATTCAATCCATACAATTTGAGGTTATATGTTCAGATCACCATTCTTTTTTTTTTAAAGAGGAAAGCAGATGTCTATTCTCATTTTGTGTTTGGTCATTCTATTGAGTTACATTTCATATTTGGGATGCAGCCAGGAATAGAAGACTTTGTCAGATGCGGGTACACCCTCTGCTGAATTTATGCTGTGGTGGGCATAGGACAGGTGGAAGCATGACAACCTTTTAAGATAAGACATTTTAAGTTGGTCTTGAAAGACTGGGTGCTTCAGAAACCTTTGACAGACTTAAGCTGTAGTTATTTAATCAAAAGAAGACATGTCTGCAGCTTGGAAGAAAAAAATGAGAAACATGTCAAATGTCTGTGGCTCTTTGTCAGGATAGGTTCAAACTGCACAGAGTAATAAAAACTAACAAAAAAACTTTACAGTCTGTGTTAACATTTGTCCTCACCCAAAGTTGTTAATTTTGTTCTTTTCATTTTTTAAGAAATCAAACACCAATTCACAGCAGTTAAATTTGGTTTACATAAACTGCTCTTAAATGTTATTTGTCGGTTATATTTCACTGTCACGAAAAAAGATGATGAAAAGTAGCCTATGAAATTGATAAGTGATGAAATTAGGTAAAATACTGATATGTGTTGTGGTTTTTGGGCTGTATCTTGACTATCAGCTCTGCATCTTCCTCCTAGTTTTTCCAACCTACAGGACAATAATAAAAAAACTCCCCCCAAAAAACCCCACTACGCTGGAATCAAACTCCGGTCTTTTGTACGCAGCGAAGAAGAGTTAAACAAGTTTATACCACATACTCTGGTAGGGCAGATGAGAATTTCAAATTATTGTCAAGAGGGTCAACAGGATAACTTGACTGGTATCTGTGGCGTAGCGGTTAAGTGCTGTAACACGCAGAAGAGAGTTTGATTCTCGTATGGGGAGTTTTAAACAATCAAATACAGTCGAACCTGCTCTAACAGCCACCTGTATTATAATGGCACTGTGTAAGATGGCCACCTGTCTACTACAGCCACATTTCTCCTTGAAGAAAGGTGACTGTCTCATACAGGTTTGACCGTATCTCCATCGGTCGCAGAGACATTGCATCACTCTCAGCTCAGGCAGGATCGAAGCAGCCAATCTAAAAAAATAATGATTCAACCCTGCCCACAAAGGCCAACCTAGGCAAAGAGGGATACAACATCCCATTGGACAGACAAAGAAACTTGATAAAAAAAGCTTCCCCACATCGGAATCAAACCCATGTTCAGTGTACAACAGAAAAGAGACTAGACTCTATACAGCAATCTCCGGTTCCCTGTTTAGAAGGAAGCCTAGGAAGTTTACAGCGAGCCCGCTCACAACAATAGTCATACTGCTCCAGGAACAAAGAACAAAGTAAGACACTACATAATATACACATCATATCACCAATGCGTTTCAATAGAATCTATCTGCAAATGGAGCATTCAGATACTTTTGAGAAAATTTGAAAAAAACTTTTTTTAAAAATTAGTCTAATCTCTTTTTAGTGTCTTGATTTTTACAATTTATTCTAAGTTGTCATGAATTATTGATGCAAATTAAAATGCAAGAGTTGATTTTAAGATTGTCAAATGCCTTAAGGCTGGTGTTTTCAAATTTGATTCCATACATAGATAGCAGAACTGCAATGGCGATATACGTATCATACGAGTATAACTTACCCTTGTCTGGAATGAAGTAGCAGCACTGACAGATCCGAGAGCCACCTTCTCAAACTGACTCAGGTTGGACGCCACTCTCGCACATGTGGAGCTTCTCACACAGAGCAGCAGATGAGACAGACCCTTCATCGGAAACGTTTTGCACCTGCAGACAACCGCTTTGACACTAGAAGTAGAAAGAAAAGTCAACAATAATAAATTTGGCTGTTAATGTCAGAACAAAGCAGTGCTGTTCCAGCTGAGCTTCCGTGTAAAAAAACATAATGTCAAGCACATAACAATAGGAACAGTTAGAGATCTTGTCAGCGGTCTGAATTTTTCATGATTCCAACATCTGGTGCGCTGTGCGCAATGATCATCACTGAAGAAAAAAGAAGCTTCACTCAAAGCGGGCAGTTGGTGGGTGTCATCAAACTCTCTCTTTGGTCTTCTTTTGACAGCCAGCTATTATTCTAGTTTTGAAAGTGTTTTAAATCCTCACTGACAAAATTTTGATCACCTTGTAGCGACTTGGTTACACGACACCAGCATGCAGAGTAGTCCAGTTAAACTAATGTTCTTTTATTGTTAATGTGCACAGGTGTATATATAAGGAGCTTGTAAATAAATGTTAATTCGTCTGTACTTATAGTTCACAAATCGACGTTCTGTCAAATCTCAACAGCCGAGGAGGTGGACTACCTAGACCCTTGCTATCAGGGCTAACCCTAGCAGATTGTGATCCATCATCCCACCAGACAGACAGAGAAACTCGATAAAAATAACTTCCCCACTCGGAAATTGAACTCACATCTTTAGCATACGAGGACAGGGAGCCCAGCAGCTACATGGCAGACAGCAGTATAAACTGCAGTAAACTATGCACAAAATTACAAATCTGTACAAAATGAAGACACCAGGAAAAACAATGTGAGTGCTCTTTTATTCTAACCACAACTTACCCCCTTTCATTCTTTCTTTAAAAAAAAAAACATATTTCATTTCTCAAACTTTTTAAAGATGATGCTTCTGTGGGTGAGGTTTGGAGAGATTTTCTGAGTATCTCAGTCTGTCTGCTGGGACCTTTTATCCTTCTCAGCACAGGTTTACCCTGACAGGCAGGGTTGACACCTCCTAAATGATCTATATTGAATCAACGGGGGCATTAAAACTCCTGCCAAAAGCAAACTAACAGAAACTTTAAAAATCTACAAAAAGCAAACTAACAGAAACAGCAGCTTATTTATTATGCAATATTATTCCATATCTAGAAATAAGCAGAATGTAGACACAACGCAAACACTTTATTAACACTCCACACATCGATTTACACTCCAGATTCTCCTTGCCATCTTCTGATTCATCACTCAAGACCAGCAGTACAAATTCAACACGAGCAAGCATCACCCATTGCTCATTAAGATCCTCTGGCTATGACTAAATTATGAAAATATATACTAACAAACTGACAGTCTAATAAAATGTTACATTCAAAGTAGCCTTAGCATTACAATGAATTTCAACCTCACGGAGCCTGAAGTACAGTACAGTTCCTCTCATTATAAATATGAACTTGCATAGCTAAGAGTAAGTGAAGAATTCATTTTACAGTATAGAGACCTGATTATCAAAGTTATAGTAGGCCTACATCATTCGAGCTAGGCTTTTAATTTGTTTCAGCTCTCATTGCTTTCTACACCAACAACACTACAACACTGGCTCATGAATATTCTACTACCATTTAATACACACAAATGTCTCACACTCTCCCTGCATGGCCCTTCTTTGTCACTGTTAACTGTTATAGCGAGCCCGCTCACAACGATGGTTACATTTCCTGATTTTTTCCTCCCAATGTTTCCTCTGACCTGGCATTCTCAAACATTTTTGTACACCAAGAAGCACCAGCAGTGGAATTTTAGTTGCAGCAGGGGATTCCCCGCTGAGTGCCTTATCAGGCTGGGACCACAGGCGTTGGCTCCCTGTCATTCATCTGGCAGGGCTGACTTGATTTTCGGTACTTTTTAATTTAGAGTTTGAGGTGTATCCTTGTACTTATATATGGTAATTATTGGTAATTATTATTTACAGTACCCAAAGTACAGTAGTCTCCGCCTAAGATCCCGGTGCTCGGGAGCAAGGAAATGCGGGATCTTAGGCGAACCGGGATCTTAACCGACGAACCCAGGGAAGAATCTATGGCGACTCATGTTAAGGCTCACAATCGATAAAATGGTCTCCCTCCACTCTAAGATGAACTGGCGTGCCCCCTTGGTGGGTTTATGGCATATGGCGAGCGAAGAGTGGTTAACTTTGATGACCTATCGCAGTGCATAGGGGCATGAGGCGAGCCTTTTTCACTTATTATCCTATCATGAGTCTCAAGATCTACGCTTTTCCAGATACCCCTCCCCTTTACCTGTCATAAATTTACAGCCTTCCATCTCTGACCAAGTTCCCCCCCCCCCCCAAACCGCCTTTGTCGTTACACACCATTACGTTGTGAACACACCAATTAAAATTTAGTCTGTCTCGCAAATTCGGGAGTAGAGACAGGTGCTAATGGTCGAGGAAGAGTTCACAGTTCAATGTGATCCCGCCTGGAGCGAACGTGTAGGCCCTACCCACCCAGCGAGTGATGTAAGTTTAGGGGGAGAGCTCAGGTGTGAGTGCGATGTTCGGGGAAAACAAACGTGTCAGTCAGTTCACACACCGGTGTGATCCCGTTTGGGGCAAACATTGTATCGCTTCATCGAGTTTTACAATGTGTATGTGATCACATTCCCGATAGTCGCTGATCTTTGACGCGACTGACATTTTATATTGATCTCAACTTTTCACTCTTGGTTGATCGGCTGTCCCGCGGGTTTTTGTTCCGCAAACTATGATCTGAAATGCGGGATCTTAGCCGAATGTTGACCTTCAGAGTGAATCAGAGCGGGATCTTAGGGGTGACTTTTGTATAGTAAAAATTCTGTTTTCTTAAAACAGCGGGATCTTAAGCGAACCGGGATCGTAAGCGGTGGGATCTTAGGCGGAGACTACTGTATCCATCTCTGCTCTTGAGACTCCAAAAAGAACAAACATTGTTATTTGTCTGATTATAATTTCGTTAGATCCTTTGAAGCTCTGAAGTAGGGAATGATAAATTGCTAATTTGTTTTGACAAGTGTGGATGAAAAAAAATCAATATTAGAATAACGGCTCAACATTGGGATATGAACAATATTATAACATAGACGGAGGTACCCACAGAAGGATGTATCTGTGCAGATGACAGACAGTTGAATCTGCACCTTAATCCAACTAGCACACAATTTGCTCAGAATTATTTTGAGACCTCACACTCGTAATTCCTTCACATACAACTTTATATGTCTAATACAATCATGAATATCTGCATACATTTGAAAACATAAGTTTGTACAAATGTATACTGTGGTCTGTCTACACGGAAGTACGAATCAATTTTAGAGCCAGAATACATACAACGTAATACAGGGACAGTATCTATAATAACACTCAAGAAATTCTTTTCTTTTCATTAAAACTTTAAGTCCCTAGGTTTTATAAGTTGACTGAAGAATGGGGGTAACTTGAAGTAACAGGTATATTTCAGAAAAATTTCTAGCTTTCCACAGTGACACCTGAATCAGCACCAATTTTTCAAGCTTTTCTTTCTGTTTGTTCTATGACCATTAGCAAAGACTGAACATGTTCTGATTCCTTCACATTCATAAGTGCCTACACACACTTCCAACACAAAAACTAAGAATGTCATTTTGTACATATTCCAAACAAAAAGTATTCTCAGTCCACATAATTACAAAGATTTGTGTTTTTCAATGATCACATATATATATTTCTTTCTAAGTCGAGTGCAGACTGCCACATACACGACATATCATGAACAAACACAAAGTGTCTTTCTGGTGCGTGTATCATTGTAAAGCAGGCAGGAGCCAACACAGAGTATTTTGTCAAAAAATGCAGATGTGCATCTTTTCTTCTCTTATAGGGCCTATAACTTGCCTATTATATATAACCTCCAAGGTTTTTTATGGTAAAAGACATGGACATGATATATTCATAGTCTGTTAAACACACATTTCGGAGAGATCTATCAAGTCGTCTTTAAATAAACAATCATTTTTTCATATGTATGTAACTAAAAGTAGGAGGACAAATTGGGTGCTCTACAAACACTTGTCTAGAACCAAAAATAAAATATGGATAAGAAAATAACCATTCCAAAAAAGAATAAATCTTGAAATATTGAGCTTTAATTACATATTAGTGTAATGGCTTGCTGTGTGGGATGGGGAAGAAGTTATTATATCGTTTAAAAAGTTGACAAAAGTGCACAGTTTTACACTGACTCCAGCAAAGCCACTTCATGGCTAATGCTAATTAACCCCGAGCCGAGGAGCTTCAGTGGGCTGTTAAGTTACACAAACTAAAAGTAACAAAATTAAGCAAAAAGTAACGCCGTGAGAAAGATTGTAAGTTCACCAACATTATTATCATATGGTGATCTAATATTTTTAACATTTATCATAATTGGTAAACCAACGCAAGACACTGGCAGTAAAATTCAGGTATAGGACTTCCGTAACAAGCGATCAATATGAAATCTAGTATCTAACGGGTCCTAACCCTAGCCCTACCTGGTGTTTCTTTTTTCCGAAACCTACAGAAACCTTCTGAAACCATCCGAAACTTCCAAAACCATCCGAAACCTACCGAAACCATGGTGTGAAATCTGGAAAACTCCGGAAAAATTTTTCTATTTGGTTTAATTACGTCCAACCTCACCGACACGTGGATAGTGAAAGGGGATTAATTCATGTGGTCATAAAACTTTATTAAACTCATCAAAAAATCGCATCAATTTGCTATAAAAGATAAGGCCTGTTTTTCATTGTTCTCTTTCACTATTAACTCCCACGGCACACTCGCGTGACCTCAGTTTAGACCCCAGCACCCCAACGCCCAAGCTTGCGGGCGACATAAGTGGGTCATCGATCGATAAGAACATTTTTCCGATTAAGCCTGCAGGACCAGATCAGTTACGGAGGACAATAACGCTGAATAGTTGAGGAAACAGTAATAAGAAAGGAAGCAAGAAAAGAAAAAAACAACAACAACACACACACAGAAATAGTTAACTCAAGGATATCAGCATGGCTTCTCCAAAATGTCTGAACTTATTCACTCACTAACTACTTACAGATTCCGGCAAGGCTAGCTTCAGTACTCATACGAGCTTGAGTATGTATTCAAGATTGTATTCTTTTGGTCAGAAGGTTTCAGATGGTTTTGGAAAAAAAGAAGCACCCGCCCTCACCGTAACGGTTGCCCTCCTCCTAGCTCTAAACCTAACAATAATCCTATCTAAATTGACCTAACAATAACCCTAGAAATAACAACCTCCCCCTCCCCCGCGCCCCTCCGAAGTCGAAAGATGAAAATTATCATGAATTTTAAAAAAAAGATTTTGATGGCCATTGATTATAATCTAGATCTAATCTAGATTTCATTTTCATAGTGGTCACTCGTCACAGAATTCCTTCCAAATCCAGACTCTAGATCAAGAACATAGATAATAAAATGGGAAAGAAACAAATTAAAAGATGACACTGCGCATCAGTAAAGCTACACTACAAGATCTACTGTGCACTGTGTGTTATAGTGTGATTGAAGTTAAAAATGCTATAGATCTAGCGATCTACTCAGTTTTCCTTGCATGAAAGCTGCAACGGGCACCTAGCACACCTCTGTGATTGGCCCAAGTGTAGAGATAACATATATTTCCGCCATCTATTTTTGTCGTCTTCCGGGGTTTCCCCTAAGACTCTTGGGTTTCCCTTGCCAATAACTGACTATATCTCGCCATTTTTGTTTTTGTTTTTTGTGTATTAATTTATTAAAAATCTTTTATAAAAACAATCTCAGCAATTATCGCTCCATAAATTTACCTTCTTCTCTAAGTTGTACACACATGCTCGCACACACACATACATACATGCGCGCGCACACAAACACACACGCACGCACACACACAGACATGGTATCGCGTGCGCACACACACAGCCCACGCAGTCTGCTATGAAACCTAGAGATGTAGCCCATCAAGCCAACTGGCGAGGGAAGCCCCAGAAGACGACAAAAATAGATGGCGGAAATACTTCATCTCTATATTTGGGCCAACCACAGAGGTGTGCTAGGTGCTCGCTGCAGCTTCATGTGTCTTCTTTCCATTTATGCAGTGTGTCCAACCTTGGATTCCTTTTAATATAGGACACTGTACACGACTGTAGGCCAACTGAACTGTACTCCTGTGTAAATGTTATTGTTATCTCTAGATTTAGATCTAGACTTTCAGAGATGTAGTATCTTGCACAAGCTTGCAACAGAGGACAATGCATCCTGGGTGCTTTTTCGGTAGTTCCCACCCCCGGCTTATTAAAGCCTAGATCTAGATCTACGTCTGATGCGCGGTGAGCTAAGATATCAAACCTAACAAATGCAAAACATCAAATTATAAATGGTAAAATCAGGGGGGGTGGGGGCATGATGCCCCCCTGAAACCCCCCACCATATTTTTATTAGGTCAGGGGAGCCCCCCTGAAACCCCCCACCATATTTTTATTAGGTCAGGGGAGCCCCCCTGAAACCCCCCTACTCTTGAGGCCAAAACCCGCGAATAACAATTGCGGGGTGGGAACTACCGAAAAAGGGCCGCATTCTGTACTGTACTGTTTTCAGAATTAACATAATATCAAATTTATATTTTAATCAAGTTCCTTCTTCTGTTGTTTCTCTACTCCAGCAAGCATGAAAAGTGCATGGAAACTTTGTAAACTTACATTAAAAAATGCAGTAGATCAACACATCAGTTACAACTTCATCAAATTCCCTCGAGCGTTGTCAATCGACTGGAATGGAATTGTGTGAGCCGTGACTCTGCCAGTTGGTAGGGAAGGGTAGCGAAGGCCAAACTTTTGCTAGATCTAGATCTAGATATCTCTAGATCTATATCTAGTTCGTCCCCTAGTTCGGATGCCCGGCTTGCGTAGGCCTAGACTTAGAGTGAGCAAGAGCCTCGAGCGAGGATGGCAACACATCTGCTACACACATTAATCATTATAGATGCACACGCTGCAATATTATTAAAACACAAAGCCAATCGGATAATGATATGCAGTACGTTTCCAATGATGTCAAACTGACGAATTTCCACGGTCCACAGGGCCTAGCCTAGTCTGTTTGGTAGAAAACTTGACTCAATTCAGTCAATTCTAGATGGTGAGTTGTCCTTCAAGTCTAATTCTGTGGTCGTTCTGCGTCTTCTTGTGGTGGAGGACTGAGTAGATTTAGCTTCAAGTTCACGCAGTAAAGAGTGGGCTGGATCTAAGTTTTTCGGTAGCGAAATGCTTCGATTTTCATGGAGGGAACGAGAGAGAGAGAGAGAGAGAGAGAGAGAGAGGGAGGGAGGGGGGGGGAACTGATATATACTTACCCTGTAATTAAGACCTTAAATTTTCTGCAATTCCTAATAGGCTTAATAAAACAACGTTTTGAGGGTTTACAAACAAGTGCGTCTCTTTGTTTGAACGTTTCATTGTTGGGTTTGAATTTCCCCCCCCCATGAAACCAACCCAATGTTGATGGTTCTCTGTTTTATGTTTTCACACTTCCTATTTCAAAAGAAAGTGTCTTGTTCTTTTCTGAGATTTTTGCAATCACGAGTGATTTTTCTCTTACTGATATTATGTCATTTAAAAAAATGTTTCCTGACCATCT